CTTAAAGGCTACAATGACCCTTATTTATACTATAATTAACCTTAACTAGTTTGGAAAATAATAAACATAATAATTAAAACAAATCTTATCAGAATATGAAAAACTTCTAAAACAAGAAATCTAATTTAATTAGAACTACTAAAATAAAATAAGAATATAGAAATAAAAAAATCTAAAAATATTTTTTTTTTAAATTTTAATAATATATTTTCGGCATCATCAGTTCTCATGAAATAACATTAAAAATTCTTTTTGGTTATTGGTGGCGGCGATAGGAATCGATCTGGCAATGTTCGAGCCATTGGAGCTCTTCACATGTTGTCGTACGTGCTCACAGTTTCTGGTAGATAAATGATTCTATTCTATCTCCAACGATTTTACATTGTGTCATCAAATAATAAAGACAATTAAGCTATATTCGGTAGTTGAAAAATCCTTTTTATCTTCAGAGTTTATTGTAATGTGAGCAAATACTAATTACGAAGCGTGGCAACTGACGACTGATGTTATTAGATATAAAGACCTCGTCTCGTCTCCAATCCTATTAAAAATATATTTAGAAATGTTAACGTCACTCATTTATTTAAGCTCCTTGAACCAGCTCCAGCGTGCAACATTTAAACCATGGCTGACATGCAAGATGCAACACTTTTCCTTATCTGCATAGCTTCCATTATCTTCTTCCTAACGATCTGGGGCAAGACTCAGACCCAGGCCCAGCTTCCACCAAGCCCACGAGGGTTACCAATCATTGGCCATCTCCACATGCTTGGTCCTGTAACCCACCAAGCACTTCATAAGCTATCAACCCGCTATGGTCCCTTGGTTTATTTCTTCATTGGTTCAAAACCTTGTGTTCTTGCTTCTTCCCCAGAAATGGCCAAAGAAATTCTCAAAACCAACGAAACTAAGTTCCTGAACCGCCCTAAAACGGCCAATCTCGATTACCTCACCTATGGTTCATCTGATTTTGCCACAGTGCATTATGGACCTTACTGGAAGTTCATGAAGAAACTTTGCATGAATCAACTTCTTGGTGGAAGAAGGCTAGACCAACTTCGTCCCATTAGACAGGAAGAAACAAGGCGATTTCTAATGTTAATGCTGAAGAAAGCTGAGGCAAGTGAGAGGGTAAATTTTGGAGGAGAGCTAATGAGGTTGACAAATAACATAATAACAAGAATGACACTGGGGCAAAGGTGTTCTGATAAAGAAGATGAAGCTGGTGAGGTGAGAAAATTGGTGCAAGCGTTGACTCAGTTGGGAGCTAAGTTTAATCTGTCAGATACAATTTGGTTTTGTAAGAAGTTGGATTTGCAAGGGTTTAGAAGAAAGCTAGAGGATGCTCGGAAGAGGTATGATGTTATGATGGAGAGGATCATGAAGGAGCATGAAGAGTCGAGGAAGAAGAGGAAGCAAATGGGCGATGAGGGTGATTCCGAAAGGGATTTACTTGATGTTTTATTCCATATATTCGAAGACAAAAACGCAGAGATGAGATTGACCAGAGCAAATATAAAAGCCTTCATTATGGTAACTACTATCTAGACACACTAAAATATGCAATTTTGTTTTTTCGGCCATATCATTTCATGATTTTATCTTAGGATAAACATATTACAACTTTCATTGGTTTACAATTCTCTCTATCTTTCATAGTTAGTCATGTATACGTTTCTTCCCTGATGATTATTGAAACATATTTGTCTTTTCCGTATAGTATCTGAAACTGAAAATGACATTGGTTCACAACCATTTTGGGACAGGGAAAGCTAACAACCAGAGCAAGTTTTAAATATCAATAAAGAAATAAGAATGACGACACCGATAATAATAGTTTTATATCAATCATATAACATTATTGGTTATTATAGTTAAGGAGAAATTGTCAAATTAATGGACTGATGATGATTTTAAAACTATTATACTTTTGGATCTTGACAGAATATATTTGGGGCTGGAACGGACACATCTTCCATCACGTTAGAATGGGGACTGGCAGAGCTAATCAACCATCCGAATGTGATGGAAAAAGCAAGAAAAGAGATTGATTCTGTAGTTGGAAAAAACAGAATAGTAGAAGAATCAGATATTGCAAATCTTCCTTATCTGCAAGCCATTGTGAAGGAAATACTAAGACTTCACCCTACTGGCCCTTTAGTTGTAAGAGAATCATCTGAAGATTGCATTATTGCTGGTTACATGATTCCAGCAAAGACTAGGCTCTTTGTGAACTTGTGGTCTCTTGGAAGGGACTCCAGCCATTGGGAAAACCCTCATGAGTTCAGGCCTGAGAGGTTTCTTAGTGAAAAGTGGTGTCGAAACAACCAGTTTTTGGATGTAAGGGGGCAGAATTTTCCGATGATACCATTTGGAAGTGGTAGAAGAAGCTGCCCTGGAGCTACACTAGCATTACACTTTGTTCCAACAACCATTGCTGCTATAATTCAGTGTTTCGAATTGAAAGTTGGTTATGGAGAGAATGATATTGTTGACATGGAAGAGGGTCCTGGGCTAACACTTCGCAGGGCTCATTCCCTTGTTTGCACCCCTGTGGCTAGGCTCACTCCATTTCCATCAATTTGATCATCACAATGTTTTATGAATGATGCTATTTATATATCATATGTTCAATTTCTCTGTCATCAAAATCTAATTAATATAAATAAACCAAGCCAGCTGGTTCAGAAACAAACTCTACAAACCCTTATAACCAAAGAGAACTAACCCGGACTTAATTTCTTTCCTTCTCAGATCAGCAACTTTTTCGAAACATATAATTCTAGTGTCATTTACAGGTTCTAGTACAATTTGCAATTTTGATAGAGAACCGATGCTTTACTGACAAATTTACATAAATCTATTATCTATCCCTTTTGCGAATTGGTAACAATTTGATTGCATGAAAGCTGGCTAATAGGTGATGAGCATGTTTAACACCAAGGGATTAGTTTGACTGTCAAAGAAATTTGTTTAATTCTTTGAGTTTTTAGATTTAAACATTGAGGTTACTTACTATAATAATACTATGGTTTACTTTGTCTTTTGAATTTATAAGGTGTTTAATGGACCTTAGAGATTACTTTGTTTAATAGACCTTAAGAATTAATAAAAATACATATAAACTAGTCGGGACAATCGGATTACAGCACTTTTGGTTTTCACGACTTACGACAAAGAGGTACAAAGGGAAATAAATAACTCTATTTGAAACCCACATGACCCACCAGGAGAAAAAATATTGAATTACTTTCGTAATTCTTATTGCTGTTCTAAATCACCAAATGAAATAAGATAATGTTTCCGTGGTTAATTTGTTACGTCTAAGAAGCCTAGCATCAAATATCTATTTCCTTCTTTCCCGGATTCGCAAACGCATAAATCTAACACAAGGCCAAGTACTTAGAATGGCACAGTTAATTACAGTGCATATTCCAACCATCGACTAAGCCCTTCTACAGATAAACATTACATTACATACCAAGCATCAACTAAACCTTCTAGAAATTAACTTAGCAAGGACCACAATATTAATTAATTGTTGCATTTAAAAAATTAAACTTGGAAGACGATGTAAGAGCGGAATCTACATCCACATGATATATATTTGATGAAAAGCATTGCAACCAATGTAAACACAGGCGTCTTCAATCTAAACCCTAAAGCATTGAAGAAAACTATGAGAATAATATTTGATTATTTCGGAGCAGATAAAACTCCTTTATCATGTTATATTGAGGACCACTGATCGATGACAAGTGCTGGCTCACTCTTGGCATTTCCGGCTGAAATAACTAAACAACCTTAAGGACCACCTTAACCAGGAGGACCACCACCAAATAATTTGTATGATGCATCAAACTTTTGGTTATCAACACAAGTTCCATTACTTTCATCAAAGTTGAAGTCAATTCTTGCGTTCTATGTCGCTGATATTGACAATAATTTCATTATAATACATCCTATGATTTTGATATATCTCTAATCATACAATTTTTAAATAATACAGTTGATATGAACTGAAGAAATAATTTGCATAGAAAAATTATATGCATCTTAAACCTGTCCCTATACAATATAATGGTGATTCTATTGGTCAGCTATCAATTATCAAAATGACAGATTAAAGCAAGATACATAATAGGTCCCCTCACAAGATATATAACAATAGTACAACAACATAACGGCTCAGAGCCTCAGGTTAAGAGTAAACGACTTTTCCTAACCTAAAGTTTGCCTTGACGACACTTTCTCACTCAAAAAGTTTTAAAATACTATTTTTTTATCCAAAATTAATATTTCGTTATTATTTAAAGTCAATTTCGACGGTGAAAATTCTCTTGTCACCATCATTTGAATCTTTGGTCTCCTTTCTACAAAACCCCTCTCACTCTGACATCTTATTTCTTGCCGATTACTGATCACTATAAAGCTAGAGTTTCATATTCTTAGTTGATTTTCGGTTGATTCCAACGACAAATATTCAATCAGTCACCACCATTCAACCCACCGGCCTCCACTCTACAAAACCCAAAAAACCTCTTTTACCCTGGCTCCTGGTAACTCACCAAACACCGGCTGGAAAAGTGAAGTGTATTTTAACTATTAACATAATATAAACTTTAGGTGAAAAAATGGTATCTTGAAACTTTTTGGATGAGAAAGTGTCATTTAGGCAAATCTTGGGTGGGAAAAAGTCGTTTACTACTCAGATTAATAGCAGAAAGAAATGATTGTCGTAGCATATGATCTTGAATTCCCCAGTCACTACACGGTAAAATGGATTAAGATTCCCTGTTGACACGAGCTTTTACCTGAACAAATAAAGACTTGTAATTGGTAGTTATAAAATAGAAATATGATAGAGAACTAGCTCTGAACTGAACCATAAATAAGTGAAAATGCACATATATCATCTTGAAATTTAGAAAAGCCTAAATCGAGACAAAATCCTAATTTAAATTATATAGAAATACATCTTAGCGGTCCCCTAACACCTCTGCCGCTCTGCGGAAGCAACCATATAAGCACATCTCTGGAACCTCTAACTTGCACCAGGACTTACTCTTCCAACACCAAATCATGGTTGATTTGCAAAACGAGTACATTTTATTATTTCTTATCTGGCTACTCTCCCTCTTCTTTCTCCTAACCATCTACACCAAAACTAGGGCGAAGGCTCGTCTTCCACCAAGCCCCAGAGCCATTCCAATCATTGGACACCTTCACCTTCTTGGCCCTATACCTCACCAAGCTCTTCACAAACTTTCACTCAAGCATGGACCTCTTGTTCACTTCTTCCTCGGCTCAAAACCTTGTCTTCTTGTTTCCTCCCCTGAAATAGTTAAAGATATATTCAGAAACCATGAAAGTAATTTCATGAACCGCCCCTATTTCACCAATCTTGATTACCTTACATACGGTTTAGCTGATCTTGCGATGGCACCGTATGGACCCCTTTGGAAGTTCATGAAGAAACTTTGCATGGTTGAACTTCTCGGAAGTCGAACTGTGGAGCAGCTCCTTCCAGTTAGGCGTGAAGAGATGAGGCAGTTTCTGAGGATAATTACGGAGAAAGCAAAGGCTGGTGAGGCAGTTGACGTCGGAGCACAACTTATGAGATTGACCAATAATATAATATCGAGAATGCTAGTGAGCCAGAGGTGTTCTGATGATGAAGATAAAGCTGATGAGGTGAGGACATTGGTGAAAGAGATGAATAGCCTTGGAACCAAGTTTAATTTACAAGATTTAATTTGGTTCTGCAAGGATTTAGATTTGCAGAGATACGGGAAAAGGCTTAAAGATGTTCGAAACAGGTATGACATTCTGATGGAAAAAATTATAAGGGAGCACAAAGAGGAGAAACAGAAAAGGGAAATGAATAAAAGTGAAGAACAGGTGGGGGATTTGCTTGATATCTTACTTGATATTTCTGAAGATGAAAACGCTGAGATGAGGTTATCCAGAGAAAATGTCAAGGCATTGATTATGGTAACTATAAGTCTGTCACACACATGCACTTCTATAACACCAGCACATACACACATTTAAGTTTCTGAATCCTGACAAAAAAGTTTTCATATGGATATATAAATACAATCAGACTGCTACATATTACAAATTTTGCTAATCCAACTATATTACATCCATTTTTTATTATCATGTCTTGTCCTCATTTATTGAATTTGTTTGTAACCAAAAATTGTATATGTATTATTATATATACGCATAACTAAAGCTAGACGTGTGATCTTTAAAAACCGAGAGTTCAAATAAATAGAACATCCTAATTCCAATTTAAGATGCTCCTGAGACTGTTTTTGACTCAAAATGTAAATAGAATTGAAGAATTTTTTCTTCTCGACTTCGGGAGAGCACTTGACAACTACTTAAAAGTCTTTTCCAGTACTTTGGCAAATTTACTAAAGTACTTTCGATAAAGGAATCCCAAACACACAAATCAAAATTTATGGCAAAATTAACATTTTACTTCTGCTTCATTACTAAAACTTCTGAAAAACAACAATATTATCAACTAGTGGTAGGAACGAGAAGATAAAATCAAATGACAAGATTAGAAATTTAGAATTACTGAAGAGTGTTAATTAGAATTATATTGGGGCACGAGAACTGACCAGTAAACTCGGAATTTCACAGAATCTATTTGGAGCCGGGACGGACACATCTTCCGTGACCATAGCATGGGGTGTAGCAGAGCTGATTAACAACCCAGAAGTTATGGAGAAAGCAAGAAAAGAAATTGATTCTGTAGTTGGAAAGAAGAGAATAGTAGAGGAATCAGACGTTCCTAACCTTCCATACCTCCAAGCAGTAGTTAAGGAAACACTAAGGCTTCACCCTGGTGGCCCATTGGTTGTGAGAGAATCAATTGAAGACTGTACTATTTCGGGATACCAAATTCCAGCCCAAACCCGACTCTTTGTTAACGTGTGGTCTCTTGGAAGGGATCCAAGCCAGTGGGAAAGCCCACTTGAGTTCAGACCAGAAAGGTTTCTTAGCCCAGAGTGGAAAGCAAAGAACCAGCTGTTGGATGTGAGGGGAATGAATTTTAGTCTGCTGCCTTTTGGAACTGGAAGAAGAAGCTGCCCTGGAGCTTCACTAGCACTTCAAGTAGTTCCAGCAACCCTCGGAGCTCTGATACAGTGCTTTGAGTGGAAAGCTGGAAATGCAGTGAATGGTAAAGTTGACATGGAAGAGAAACGTGGTATGACCCTTCTCAGAGCTAAGCCTTTGGTTTGTGTCCCAGTGGCTAGGCTCAAGCCATTTCCATCATTCTAAAAGACACAGATTTTATGTGATATTTTGTCAATAATAATCTTCCCTTGTTAAAGGCAAAGCATTTCAATCCGTTTAGACTCTGCCCTTTGGCCCAAAAAAGGACCAACTTTAATTTGTCATGTTAAGGGATGAGGGAGGTTAACAATGGTGTTGGACCATTCATCATTGTGGATGTTCTTAGGAGATGGTCCATGTTTCTCGCTGTGAAAATTGTATAAAATCTGAAGACAGGTCGTGAATTCTGCCCATAATAATTGGAAGCTTGCTGAATGTTTCTTAAAGCTTGCCATGTGAATTTGTAAATGGGCAGTGTCTGCAGTGTGGTTTTCAGTTTTCAGTGTTCTGGTTTACGTTTGCTTTTCCGATGAAGATCTATTAGCTTATGGATTTATCTGTTGATGTTTATCAAGCATGCTAATTTCATTGGTTTATTCAGAAATTCGTTCACAATAAAAGCAGATCCTTGTACTCAGAGCAACATAGAAACCAGCAAATGACAAAATATCAACAAGAAATAGAGGAAAAAACTCTGTCGTCCCGTGTTATGGTCCTAATAACAATTCAGGACAAATTAATTTTCTACCAGCGAACAAAAGAATTATTGAGATTAGGTGAGTCAATTTTCAGTATCTGAACAAAAGAACATAAACTAAAAAAAAAAAAAAAAACATGGTAAATGATACAACAGGGATGAAGAAAGTTCATATTACTGTGATATCATATATTGTTAATGAATAATAACTTGAGCTAATAACAGCAAATTAGTATTATTATTTCTTCTTGGAAAATAATAAATTGAAAAAAAAAAAAAAAATATTGATGAGAGAAAAAACTAAAGCTAAACAACTAAAAAAGTCAAATAATTTACTTAAAAAACAATTATATTTGAACACGTGTCAAGAAGTGACACGTAAGCAAATATAACAAACCCTCCCTTTCTCATTTCTAATTGTTCTCTTTCTCAAACCATCTCACTTCCTGTAAAGTGTAAACCCAAGCAAGTCTCAGTGTTATATATAATTTGTTTGATTTTGGGTTTTTGAGTTCATGCGTTTTGAAAATCGTCATGTCTGAGAATTCTTAGAAAAAGGATGATTCATAATTACTGTTATATACGTCCTTTACTCTATCATAAAATTTTAATTATAAGGAAACCAAACGGTTCAGAAACAAACTATACAAATCATCGAACCAGTATAACAACTGACTCGAACTTAATTTTTTACTTGTATATTTGTTAAATACAAGAAGTGTCTCATTTCTTCCCTGCAAGAACTTGAAACATAATTCTGATATCATTTACAGGATATAGTAAAATTTGCAATTTTCATAAAAAAATCGATTTTAAACTTACACGTACAGCTAATATATACAAATTTGGCTAATTCATAGGGAATAGAAGTTAACCATACATTTGGAACTGAGATTTACTCTTTCGGGGTGGAATAGCCATCTTTTCCTTTAAATCTATCCTTTTGTAACAATTTTATTGTGCCCCTGAAGCTCCCTAACCGGTGATGAACACTACTGTTCGTCAGAGCTGTGTTTAGCTCTTGAGATCATGACGTAATGGTAAACCAGTTAGGTTTAACTGTCAAGTTACCCATGATTCCTACTGCTGATATGAATATAGTAGGGAATAAGTGGGTGTTTCGTACCAAATTTAATGCTGATGGGTCCTTGCAAAAGTATAAGGCCCGGTTGGTAGCAAAAGGGTTTCAACAAACTCCTGGTTTAGATTACTTTGAAATCTTTAGTCCAGTGATCAAACCTTCCACCATTAGGATTATTCTTACTCTTGCCGTTACAAATGATTCAATAGACAGAGTTATTGATCTTTTTTGAAGTTATGCAGAAAATTTTTACAGAAAACTACTCTAGAACTTATGCAGAGTATGATTCAGCAGCAAAGGAAATGATATATCTGGGAATTATGCAGTATGCGTTACTCTTTGGCTCCAAGTGTTCTTACTAAAGTTCTAGGTGTTAAATGAGAAATTAGCAAAAGCTACGTGGCCTTGTTTGAGAGAGCATGTTAGTCATAGAGGAATTGGAAGAAGTATTAGTCCATACGGTTCTGTTTGAGAGGGAATGTTAGTCATAAAGCATGTTGGCATAAACGATGACGTTTAAGTGTCTTTAATATGTGCCAAAGCACTGTCATTTTTGTAAAGCTGAAAAGTGTATAAAAGGGAAGCTTAATCCCTAACTGTAGCAAGTCGTTCAGTTACAAATAAAATCCCCTTTTGCTTCTCTCAATTTCTTTCTCAGATCTGCTTTCTTTACGCACTTTTCTCTCAAATTCCACATACCAATCACTTGAAGTATTGAGAAGAAATTCAACAGGTAAAATAACAGTAACAAGTTAAACTGGAATACACCAATTTATGTATACCAATCACTTTAAGTATTGAGAAGAAGTTCAGTAGGTAAAATAATAGTAACAAGTTAAACCTGGAACTCAATTGGTGTAGAAGTCTTCCCCATCTTAGATACTTCATCGCACTGCACATCAACAAGATAATATGAGACATAATAATTATTAATATCTAAAAATATTTGCATATTGATCAGGGGCGTAGCCAGAAATAATGTATAGAAGGGTCAAAGTTAAAAGAACAATACAATTTTAAATTAACATAAGCATAAATTTTGTATTTATAAAATTTCCATTAAGTAGTACATCCATAATAGTCCTCGACGGGATTTCATCTTTTGAAAGTATTGTATAATGACTTCATTATCAATACCATCAAATACATCTTTCTCTATATACACAACTAAACTATCATTCAACCATTAATCACTCATTCTATTTCGCAAACGATTCTTCACAAAATTCATTGTTGAAAATACTCTCTCTATACTAGCAGTGACAACGGGTAGAATCAATGCTAATTTCATCAACAAATAAACTAATGGAAACACTCTGTCCTTCTTAGTTTCAACCATCATTTTTGTCAGATCTCCAATTCCTTTCAATCCCATAAATTTGACATTAGAGTGTATATCTAAAATGTAAACATGAAGTTGAGAATCAAGTGCCATGAGTTCTAAGTTAGAAAACTCATCAGGATAAAGTTCGGCAAGGCGTATCAATTTCTATTTATCAAAAGCAACAAACGGTTCATTTGAACATAAACATGCCAAACAAATAAGCAATTTAGTGTTTACCTTATTGAAACGATTATTCAACTCTTGAAGCTGCATATCTAGGACATTATAAAATAATTTAATGCAGTAATAATGCACATTTGTGATAGCTTGAGCCTTACGTTGTGATCGCCCTTGAATAAAAAACTTGTCATCCATATTAGGAACATCAATGTCATGATCGGCACAAAAAGAATAAACTTTGCTTAATAAAGTCTCCCATCCATTATCCCTCATCAATTGTAAAGCTTGCTTACATGCTTCAACCAAATTCATAGCATTTACAATAACTTGATCTTCTCTTTGTAGTACTTGAGAAAGTTCATTTGTAAAGCCAAGTATATCTTTCATAAAAAATAGACTAAACACAAAGTAAAATGATTGCATCAATTTAAATATGTTTTTTGCATGAAATCTTTGCTCAGAGTTTGACCCATCTTTCGCCACAATTTCAAGAACATCAATAATCGATGAAAACATCAAGATTATGCTCATTAACATACCATAATGCAAGCCCCAATGCTTATCATTGGCACGTTGCAGATTAGTCTCTTGATTGAGACATTTTCCACTTGAAAGTTCACCATTAGAAAGAGTTTCAATAACTTTACAAGCTTGTTTATCTCTAAGAAGATCGCAACACTTTGATGAAGCACCGACAATATTAACCACAATTGCCACGACATTAAAAAGATCATTAACATCATCATGGTTCTTTGCCAAAGCCACAAAGCTAACTAGAGTTGATAGGCAAAACAATGAATATAATAAGCACATCTCTTCTCTTTCAAAACCCGTGTCTTCAAACCATTAAATTCTCCTTGCATATTACTGCTCCATCATAAACTTGCCCTCGTAGTCTAGAAAAACTCAACCTATGCCTTGAAAAGAAATTATCTAGTGTTGCCTTGAGTGAGAGAGTTGTGGTACTAGTAACGTGTTCAACACCTAGAAAACGCTCCACAACAAGTCTATTGTTGTTAACATAACATAAGATAATAGCCATTTGTTTCTTCCTAAAGATATCACGAGATTCATCAATCATTATAGCGAATAATGAATCTCCTAAATCTCTAATGATAGCACTTACAGTTTCATTTGAAGCAACACTTACAATGTCTTTTTGAATCTCAGGTGATGTCAACTTGAGATTATCAAGAGCATTCTTGAAAGCAACAACATTGTAATCTTCATTATGATTAGCAAGAAATTGTAGAAGCTTGAGAAAATTCCCTTGGTTGCTTGAATCATGGGATTCATCATAACCATGAAATGCAAGTCCTTGCCTTAGAAGAAAACGAATACAGTCAACTGTAGCATTTAAACGAGTTCGATACTCTATTCGTGCTTAAGAAGAATGTCTGAATATGTTGGTCTTGATTCAATAATGTTTCACACATTCTTCGAGCTTGGTTATGAGCACTATTAGAACGTCCAACATGAATATTCAATTTTTCTTTCTTTTTCTAATTTGAAAACCCTTGACCAACAAAGTGATCACCACCCCCTTTATCACCATCTGGCTTAAAAAGATAGCAATAAAGATAAAACGCAGCATCTTTGGCTATACTATATTCCAACCATTGTTCAAATTCACTAAACCAAGAAAAAACAAAACGTCTTGAAAATCCACCAAAATACCTAGAAGGAAACTCATGGCCTTTAGGTTGACAAGGACCCATTTCCAAATATATTCTTCGAATTTGATCTTGAATATTATGATCATAATATGAAATTCGGGGTCTTAAGCCTGGATCCGTAGGAAGATCTCGCAAATCAACATCCACATTTTTACTTGAATCACCAATATTTTCTTGTTGTTTAAATGATAAGATCATTGTTGACTTTCTTTTGAAATATCTCTCCATACTATTTCAAAACAATAATATATTATTACTTGATAAAGAAAAATGCAACAAAATAAGCTATGTACTTAGTAAAACCAAACAATAACAATAATCTATGTATACAATAATAATTATTAAGATAAGTGAAATTACAACTATTACAAAAATTTATAAAGCTAATAAGTTAAAGTATTCTAACAATACATACACATCACAACTCACAAGTATATCTCTTTCTTTTCCTAATTTGTTAAGTACTTTAACAAAAATTAAATTAAAGTAATAGAAATTGAATTGAAATAGATCTTAATGCAATATTTTTTTTAAATATATCTTATATTACATACATTGGCTAAAATTCAATTGATATCTGTAAAAAATCTATTCAAATAACCAAACACTTGTACAATTAAATCAACTTTTTCATAACACTTGTAAAACAATTAAAATTAACTCCCATTTGAATCAAACACTTTTTTATAACAAATATAAAAATGGGTAAAATAATGTGGTCCCAAGAATGAAGAACCCATCTTCTCTATAAAAAAAACAACACAAAATTGCCATTGGCCAACTCCAAAATCCATTTGAATCAAACACTTTTATATAACAAAGATAAAAATGGGTAAAAAAATATGGTCCCAAGAACTCAACTTCTCCATATAAAAAAACACAAATTCAGCTATAATGGTAAAACAATGTGATCCCAAAGCCAACTCCAAATTTCATTTGAATAAAAAACTTTTATATAACAAAGATAAAAATTAGTAAAACAATGTGGTCCCAAGAACTCATCTTCTCCATATAAAAAACAAAAAAAGGGCAATATGGAATGGGTAAAACAATGTGGTCCCAATGTCAACTCCAAAATAAGTTTAAAAATTTTCTTCTTAATTCCTCTAACTTCAATATATCATTACAAATAAATAAAAAATGGATGCAATTTGTGGTTCCAATGACAATTTCATCTTCCTAAATCCTAATCATAATTTAATATTAAACTTTTAAAATAAAATAATATAAACGTAAAATGTATTACCTGAAAAATTGAAGAAAAAAGAGATTTGTTAGCTTGATAGGAGGAGAAAATTACACTTGTGTGGATAAAGTCTTAAAGGAAAAGAATTGGCTTTATAGGTTATTGAAGAGGAAGAAGTCGTCTGATGGAAGGAGAATGATGAGTTTACTTTTAGCAGGAGAACACAGGGTTTACTTTTAGTTTCACAGCCCCCAAAACAAAAAAGTTTAATTTATTGGGTATAAATATATAGTACAGCTTTTTAATATTTTAATTTTATATAGGGGTTAATTTGTAAAAACATAGTAAAAAATTTTAAAAGTCAAGGAGGGTCAACTGACCCTCTTGACCCCCCTCCCTCCGCCCCTGATATTGATAATGTCTACAGTCAAATTAATTTTGTATGGTCAACCAAATTGGCATGATAATTAATGAAAAAAATTAGTTTTTTTACACATAAAAGAAAAAAGAAAATAGCTGGATAGGTAAAATATGAGAAATAACAATAGGAAAAAATAGAAAAAATAAAAACTTTCTTATCATTAAAGGCAACGCCTTATGTATGCAAATGTATTGCCGTATATTTTCTTCCCAAGTCCAATAAGCAACAAAAACCTTGGTTGGTAGGCATATGGAAATGATGCATGAGTGTTTTCACTTTCAAACATTGACACTTAAATAAACTTATCAATTTAACAACTAAAAATCACTAATGTATCCAATAAAATGTCAATGTCCTCTTCTCTAACATTTTCAAAAATTCTCCTATTGCTTTCTGATAAATAACTCAAACAATAGCCCAAATCCCACACTTGAATGATGATAAGCTTTTCTACACCCTCCAAAAGCACAAAAAATTTTGGTAAGCAAAGAAACAGAACAGGCCTAGGCTGCCAAGACAAATTGGCGTGCAACATACTTTATTCCACAGTTTTACTGCTCCTGGACAGAGACGAGTGACATTAACGATGCTTTTTATGCTTTTTGCACATTATACACCAGTAAGGAGATAAATACAAATAATTAAAAGACTATACATAAAATCTAGAAATGTGGTAAATATATTATATAATTACTTATATTCATGTATAATTAACAGGATAAGAATAAGGCTTTTTTTTTTTTTTTTTTTTTTTTTAATGCAAAGACACCTGAATATAGGGGAAGTAGATGTCCTTTAGTTTGCACGGCAGTTGAAATTTGTTCAAGCTTTTTAGCTTAGGCTCAAATATTTCCACCTGAAAATATTCTCCAAAAATAAAGAAATACAATCGAAGTACAGTATGATCTCCACAAAAGAAGAAAAAGAAAATTTAATGAACAAAGAAACAATCAAATAGCCATATTGCCAAGCTAATTAAGCACACTTATCATCAACGTGGGAAATAAATCAAATAGAAGAAACATGTCAATATCATTGACTTTAATAATTACAAAAAAATGAACAAGTTGTCCACAAAAGTTAGTATCCATCTAAAGGACCACAAAGACAATTATGCAGAAAATAATTCAAAGATTACATACCAATTTCAAGATATTTCAATGAATTAATCAAGGTAAAGAGAATAAGTCAACTTTTCAAACCTAAGACTGACAATTAAAAACCAACTTGAATCAATAAATAGGAACTTAACAGTGCTGACATAAGAAATATGACAAACTTTGTGTCAACCATCATTTCAGCGTCAGAAGTTTCACCATTATGATCAATGATATCTATTGCAGTTGCGAAAGTTGAATTGCAGAGAAAAGAAACCTAACAAGAAAATTTAAGTAGAGTGTAAAGCGTGTGAACTAAACTTTACTCTTCTTACTTACTGAGATATTTGGCAAGAGTTCACTTTTATAGGGTGAACAGTAAACAAAGTAAGTTAAAGTTTATACGGTAAGTCAGCAAAGTAAAACAGACTCTGCTTTTATTAAAACAAACTACATGAACGAACTGCATGAGCTAAATGAGTAGAGCTCATTTTTAGTCTATCCGAACATCCTTCCATAAACAAAACTTCCTGTGAGTTTTAGTCAGCCATAGTCAACTAAGTTCACCAAGTCCAAAACTGAATCCTAACATGTTCCCACAAGCTGAACTTCCTCAAGTGATACAGCCTGACAACACATGTAACTCTAGTCAACAGAACCTGAAGCAGAAACTCACAATTCCAGTAATCTAAAACTGAACCAGTTCCACAATTCCAGTTACTGAAATTTGAATCTGAAGCATAAGCAAAAATCACAATTCCAGTCAACAAAACAACAGCCTATTATAAATCATCTTTTAAGCCAAAACGCAAAAACAGCAGCCTATTATCAATCAACTGACTTAACCATGCTGCATCATTTTCCAGCCAAAACAGAATCAACTGAGGTTGCCTATTATCAATTAACTGACTTAACCATGCTGCATCATTTTCCAGCCAAAACAAAACCAACTGAAGTTGCCTATTATCAATCAACTGACTAACCATGCTGCATCATTTTCTAGCAAGAACAGAACCAACTAAAACTTCAGATTATCACCAATCAAATTTCCAGCAACCAGCATCAAAGAACCATCCAAAACTTTAGATTATCACGTTTCCAACAAACACCACCAAAGAACCAACCAAAACTTCAGATTATGCAAAACTTCAGATTATCAAGTTTCCAGCAAACACTACCAAAGAACTAACCAAAACTTTAGATTATCACCAATCAAATTTCAGCAAACAACCAGTCATCAAAGAACCATTCAGCAAATAAACCAAAATTAAAACTTCAGATTATCATCAGTAACCAAGCAGTAATCAAATCATGACTAAAATAAAATTCCATCAGAATCAACTATGTAGTTTCACAAACTTCAGCAGAGGGTGTAACAATCAGTTTCTCCCGCAGGATTGCAAATCTAGACAGTGAAAGTGCTTTGGTGAAAATGTTAGCCTTTTGATACTCAGTGGGAACATATTGCACTTTAAGTCTATTATTTGTGACTTGTTCTCGCACATAATGTGCATCCAACTCAATGTGCTTAGTCCTTCCATGAAAAACTGGATTACAAGCAAGAGAACCTGCACTTTGATTATCACACCAGAGGACAGGAACTTCAGGAAGAATGAGACCAATTTCAGAAAATAGGCTGCTAAACCAAGTAAGTTCAGTTGACCCTTGTGCAAGAGCCCTATACTCTACTTCTGTGGATGATAAAGCCACAACCTTCTGCTTCCTTGAATACCACTGTATCAGATTGTTTCCTAGAAAAACACAACATCCACTGGTTGATCTCCTGTCCTGAACACTATTAGCCCAATCCGCATCTGTATAGCATGTCAAATTAAGTCTATGACTGGGGCTAAACTGAAGACCATAATCTGAAGTTCCCTTGAGATATCTAAGCAATCATTTACAGGCTTGCCAATGTAGCTGAGTGGGGGCTTTCAAAAATTGACTGAACTTATTCACATCATAAGAAATATCTGGTCTGGACAGTGTCAAATACTATAATGCACCAACTGTACTCCTGTAGAGGGCTAAATTTTCAAATGGTTCACTATCTTCAAGGGTAAGTTTGGTCCCAATTGCCATTAGAGTTGAGCAAGGTTTGCTGTCAAGCATGTTAGTTTTAATCAACAAGTCTTTGGCATATTTTTCCTGTGTCATATGAAGACCTGACTTTCTTCTTGTCACCTCAAAACCTAGAAAGTATTTGAGTGAACCTAATGCTTTTAAAGCAAATTGATTATTCAGATCAGTGACAGTTTGCTGAACTAAGCTGAAATCATTGCCGGTGAGTAATATGTCATCAACATACACCAATACATGCATTATCTTCTCATCCTTTTTGTAAATAAACAGACTCAAATCTGCCAAGGAATGACTGAAACCCCAACCAAGAAATGCTTTCTTTAATTTATCAAACCAGGCCCTTGGTGCCTGTTTTAGACCATACAAAGCCTTGGTAAGCCGACATACATGATGAGGATGATGAGGACTCATAAAACCCTCAGGCTGAACCATATAAACTTTTTCAATAAGGTCACCATTCAAGAAAGAATTATTAATGTCCACTTGTTGTATATCCTAACCATAACTCACAACCAAGCTTAGTATAACTCTAATAGTGGGAGACTTCACCACATGACTGAAAGTTTTAAGATAATCAATACCAGGGGTCTGCTAGAATATTTTGGCCACCAATCTGGCCTTAAACCATTGAATAGAGCCATCAGGATTGGTTTTGATTTTAAAAACCCACTTACACCCAACCGATTGTATCTCGGATGAGGCAGGAACAAGTTTCCAGGTTTTATTAGACAACAAAGCATCATATTCAGACTGCATAACCTACAAAAGTACCCTTAGATGTATGAAAGTTGAATTTGTGTTGACTATAGGGTCTAAGAAATGGATAGACAACACAGCCAAAAATTCGTATAACAGAGTAGCTAGGGATAGCTTTCAATAACATTTGAAATAGGGAAATATTGTCCAACACAGGGGTAGGAAGTCTATTTGTAAGATAGGTGGCTATTTGGAAAGCATACCACCAATATTTAAGAGGCATATATGCTTGAGGAAGAAGAGTTAAACCTTGTTCCACTATTTGCCTATGTTTTCTCTCTACCCTCCCATTTTGTTGATGAGTATGGGGACATGGATGTCTAAAATGGATGCCATGAGCTTTTAGGTATGGAACTAAGGTCTTATACTCACCCCTCCCAATTAGTTTGAACACACTTTAAGGAGGCAGCAAACTGTTTTTCAACTAGCTTGTGAAACTGTGTAAAAACATAAAATGTTTCAGATTTGGTTTTCAAGGAAAATAGCCATGTAAATCTGGTGTAATCATCCAAGAATTGAATATAATATTTGAAACCTTCGGGAGAGGGGATATGAGAGGGTCCCCAAAGGTCTAAATATACCAGTTCAAGTGGTTTGGTGGCATGAAATGTGGACTTAGGATAGGTGGACTGATGCATCTTGCCAAATTGGCATGCTTAACAAAAGGTAATATCAGATATTTTATTGGGTGGTATTTGTAAGTGTTTAAGTATTTGTGTGAGTATTGATTTATTAGGATGACCTAGCCGTTTATGCCAAATCATAGGATCAGTCTTTTGCACAGGAAAAAGTTGAATAGAAGTATCAGTTTTATTGATAATAGAAGTGGCACTAGTAAAGGTTACATTACTAGGTTCAAGAAAACCATTACAAGCATTATAAAACTGACTCTTAGCAGGAGTACAGGATGAAGTACATTCATTGTGAACTGAAGACAACTTAGGTTGTTTATTCATAGGATTACTAGGATCCTTATTGGAATAACAAGGAAATGAAGCAAGACAGTGACTTGGCGTGGAATTGAAGGATGAAACCAAAATTGCAGTTGACTTAGGAGTAGAGCAAGCTGAACTCTGAAGCTGATATAGGCCAGACTTAAGTGTTCCTTGGAGAAGAATGGCTTGTGAAGACTTGTCCTTTACCACACAATGATCAGTGAAAAACTCAATAAAGACATCATTATCTCTAGTTAATTTAGAAACACTAAGTAAATTTTTGGTGATATGAGGAACAAATAAGACATTCTTAAGATGCGACACTTTATTAACACAAGATAAAACTATAGAACTAGTATGTGTAATTGAAAGCAACTCACCATTTCCCACCTGAAGCTGCTTACTGCCCTTGTAGCTGGAACTTGAAGTCAATTAGGAAAAATCAGAGGTAACATGGTTTGTTGCACCAGAATCCATGTACCAAGCAGTGTCTTGAACTGAGGATGGAGTAGCAATGTAATTGATTGCTGTAGGAGGTTGACTATGATTCTGTGACTGAGCCATGAAGGCTTGATTATGCATCTGTGAAGTACCAGAATTAGTGTCCAAACTTCCTGAAGAATGACCAGTAGCTGAGGGAGACTGTGACTGAAAATTATTCTGAAGCTACATTGAGGGGACTGTATTAACACTCTGTGAGTAGTTTTGAGAAGGAAAAGAAGCATAATGCCCTCCATAGTTAGGGTCAGGTGGTCTTGAAAATACTCCAGGATTAAAGTTGCTCCTAATTAGAAAGTTGTTCCCAGCAAAATTCACATTGAAATGATGATAACAGTTTAACGCCAAGTGACATGTTTTCCCACAAACTTGGCATATGAATCTATTTCTACCTCTTGCATGACCTCTGTCTCTGCCACCAGTATAGTTTCCAGAAAAATGTGGTGTGAAAAATTGAGTTTGCTAGGGTGTGTATATAGGTGAACTCTGTGTATTTGGGAAATAGGATGAACTAAGACTTGGAGACTGTGATATCGGTGAGGATTGGTTGTTAAATTGAGTAACACTACCCTGAAGTTGGGATGAAGTCTATCCAGACTGGAATTTTTTTGCATCATTATCAGTAGACAAATTAGGAATATTTGCTGAGCTACTATGAAATTCAGCATGTACCATAGAATTCATTGCACTATTTGCCTTTTCCAACCGTAATTCAAACTTCTGCAAAATAATATGTGCTTCTTGAACTGTTATAGGATCAACTCTGGATTCAAGCCTAGTGGTAACATTTACTACTGCTGCATCATATTCGGAATCAAGTCCGTCTAATATTTAGTTTATCAGTTCATCATCAGTAATAACAACACCGCTTGTAGATAAAATTTTAGCATATCCTTTCATCTTTAGAAAATAGTCATGCATCCTCATACTTTCTTTCTTTGTATTTTGCAGGAGACTTCTAACATGTGTTTTTGCTCTAGACTCAGTTAAAAACTCCTTCTCTAGAGTAAGCCAGATATCATTGGCAGTTTGACATTTCGAAATTACAGAGAACATTGCCTCCAAAATTGAAGACAATAACCAGCTCATTAACAATTTATCTGTTTTCTTCCAAAGAGTAAACTCTGAGTTAGGTTTTGTTGTTACCTCTGAATTTGAGTTGTCCAATTGAACTTTGACGAACAGAGCTGGACACGATATCAGCCCCGTTAGGTGTTCTTTGAGATCATGAGCTCCCACGGCAAAAAAAAATTGTGACTTCCAGAATCGGTGGTTATCGCGCGTCAGCTTTGGTGAAATCATAGGAAGCGTGGATGAAGCAACTGACGAATGATTAGTGAAATTGATTGTGTAGAAGACCTCCTTAGAGCTTGAATTCTTGTTTGATTTATCAAGAGATGATGGATTTGAAGAGGAATCAGCCATTTTCGACGTTAGTCGGTGGCTCTGATACCAAGTTGCAAAAGTAGAATTGCAGAGAAAAGAAACCTAACAGTAAAATTTAAGTAGAGTGTAAAACGTGTGAACTAAACTTTACTCTTCTTACTACTGAGATATTTTACAAGAGTTCACTTATATATGGTGAACAGTAAACAAAGTAAGTCAAAGTTTACACAGTAAGTCAGCAGAGTAAAACAGACCTTGCTTTTATTAAAACAAACTGCATGAACGAACTGCATGAGCTAAATGAGTAGAGCTCATTTTTAGTCTATCCT